TAATTTCAGAATAAACACCAGTTTTACTAAAAAATACCACTTACAAATATTCTGTTATATCAGGTACATTGTTCTATTAGTTATTAATAATTTATTAAGCTTTCATCCACTTAAGTTAAATTCTTTGAATATTCTTTTAAAGTGGTCTCCTGAGTCCTGAGCTCATAGTTTGTTGTGGGGATTCAGTTTCTCTTCATTGTTTAGGATTAGTAAGACTTCATAAACATAAAAACAAACACGATTTTTGAACGATTAGCAGTTAAAAATAATAAAATAAATATTTTGAATACAAAAAAGTAAACACTATTGAATAAGGACTTACGGCAGGAGGCCAAAATTAAAAACTTGATCCAAGCCAAAGACCATTCCTGTCAACTAAACTTCTCACCCTATCTCTAAGGGAGAGTCCATATACCCTGAGGAGAAAACTCATTTCAACCACTTGTATTTGTCTGCAAAATTGCGGAAGCTGCACCGATCTGTCTATGGATCTCACGCTCCATTTTTCACTCACTTGTGAACAAAACCCTAAGATACTTGAACTCCTCCATTTGAGGCAGAACTTCATCCCCAGCCCGGAGAGAGCAATCCACCCTTTTCCAACTGAGGACCATGGACTCAGATTTGGAGGTGCTGATCCTCATCCCAGCTGCTTCACACTCAGCTGCGAACCGCTCCAGTCAGAGCTGAAGATCCTGGCGCGATGATGCCAACAGAACCACATCATATGCAAACAGCAGAAGTAAAATCCTGAGGCCACCGAACCGGACTCCCTCCACCCCCTGGCTGCACCGAGAAATTCTGTCCATGTAAGTCATGAACAGAATTGGTGACAACGGGCAGCCCTGGTCGAGTCCAACTCCCACTCTGAAGGGGTCCAACTTACCACTGGGAATGTGAACCAAATTCATTGCTTGTATAGGGACTGAATGGCCCGTAACAAAGACCACAATCCCATACTCACACATAGCACCCCTCACAGTGTACCTCGAGGAACACAGTGCCTTCTCTAAGTCCACACACACACACACACAAAAAAAAACATATAGACTGGGTTAGCAAACACTCATGACCCCTAGAGGAAAGAGGTTCAGTGTTTCACATCCAGAATAGAACCCGCACTGTTTCTCCAGAATCTGAGGTTAGACTATCGATCGGACTCTCTTTTCCTGTACCCCTGTAAAGACCTTACCGGGGAGACTAGGAGTGATGCCCCTGTAATTGGAGCACACCCATCTAAAGAAATTTATTGGGGTTGTTTACTGCTGACTTTTAAAGACACTACACATTGTATAGTCTTTTATTAGGTGGACAGTAATATATTTTTATAATGTGGTTATTTCTGATTTAATTGATGGTTTTATGTGCAGACTGGGTTGTGGGACTCTTGACCAGGGTTTCACACACTGGAGGTTTTTAGTTAGATACATGTCTGATTTAAGACAACACATATAAGAACCATGATTAAAAATTTGGGTGAGGAATAATGTCTGACATTTTGACTCCATGCCCCTTTAACTTATGTCATAACGCGGAGTCAGGATGCAAAGAGTTTTGTTTCTGGATGTGTTTCCTGGTTCTGGTCACTGCTTAGCTGGTGCCCATTGGAGGCAGATTAAAAGCTGATCAGTCCACAGCTGTGTCCGGATGGTTTTGTATGGCTCACTCAAACATTCACATCATTAGATCTGAACAGGTAAAGGGTAACAAACACTGCTTATGTTTTAACACATCAGTCCTCCTTTTCAAAGAGAAGAACCACCACCCAAGTCTGCCAATCCAGTGGCACTGCCCCTGATGTCCATGCGATATTAGCCGACTGCGCTAACAGTGTGCTAACCGGCAATGAGGCAGCTGACAGTGCACCAATACAGGAGCTTGCTGAGGAAAATTTACCCCATCAAGGTGAGCCATGATGAAATATAAAGGGCAGAGAAAAGGTTTAGTCACGGAAAACATCCCAGGCCAAATAGAGGAGATTAAAAATTCACTAAACTTTATGAGTGGAGAATTTTCAAAGTGGACCTCACAGCAGGAACGTGTTTGTTGTATTTTAACTTTTCTTTTGAACATATTTTGGGTATAAAAAAGGGGCAGATGAGATAATTCTTAAGATAAGATTTATTCTTCTTCTGCTGCCTTTCATTTTATTTGATTTTATTTTGATTGCATGTTTTTCTGTATTTTGCTAATTTGTATTATGTAGTGTCTAAGAGTGGGGGCCTCTTCTCAGGAATGCACAGATGTGTTATGCCTCTCTTGGTTCTKCAGCTTCAGAGCTCGGCACATATTACCATATTAGGAAGAAGAATGCTTAAGGTACGTCGTGACAAAATTTATGGTACATCTGCTGAACTACACTGTGAAGCCTATAAAGAGCCTTGTACGCCCCCACCCTTAGCCTTCGTTCTTCTTCTTTCTTACTTGGTGAATCATTTGGCTTGAAGGCCACAATTTGGGTTTTGGCTGTAATCTCCTGGACTTCAAAATAAAAATTCTTGCTGTTCAACCAGCCTGTTTCAGAGTTTCTCTCTTCATTGAGCAGCAGCAGTTCCGCAGAACCAGAAGACGTGGTTTTTACACCTCAGTTACAAATGAAATGAATAAAGAACTACTACTATATTGCAAAGGCGTGTCAACCAGGACAGCCCCACAACATCCAGAGTCTTGAGGAAATCAGGGCGGATCTCATCCATCTCTAGAGCCTTTCTGCCATGGAACTTTTTAACTACCTCAGCGACCTCAGCTCCTTTTATGGACYGACCAAGCCCAAAGTCCTCAGACTCTGCTTTCTGGTGGGATTACGAACATTCGAGAAATATTCCTTTCACCTACCAACAACATCACAGGTTGAGGTTGTAGTGTCTCGGAGATGGACTGAATGATGGTCTTCTCCCGGTAGTTCCAGTCTACAGTGGTTTGACATGGAGAAAGATGACTCTGACAGGCTTAGTTAAATGAAACAGTGAAACTTTTTATTTCACATAACCTTATATTCAATCAAGCACTCTCGAATGCCAATCAGTGAGAGAGCCCCGAATTTGGAGCAATTCCTTTTTATAAAACCTTGGTCGCACCCAGAAACAGAAACCTCACATCCACATCCCACTGGGATGGGCTCAGACAAATACACTCCATTTCTTTGATGGTAATAAGCTGACCTCTTGAGATGTGTAGCTGAGACACCACATGTTTTACATCAAGGTTGTTTTTGGCGCATGAGTTTAGGGGCCCCATGTCCTGATAAGAAAACTGCTGAAATGCTAAAAAAAAACATTTCTTGACTAAAAAACAGACTTCTTCACAGTTCTGTACTGGTGAACCCATATACCTCAAGGTCAACGGCCCCCCGCCTTCGCTGAGCACAGTGTTAGTGAAGTGCTGCTTCCTTCACCTCAGCCGCCGGTTGGTTTGCCAGAATCTCCTCAGAGCCGACCGAGAGTCTTTGTCCAAGGTCTCACCGAACTCCTCCCACATCCGAGCTTTTGCCTCAGTAATGGCCAGGGCTGCGGTCCGCTTGGTTCTCTGCCAGATGGTTGGCCCGATGGGACTCATTTTATTTTATTTTATTTATTTTTAAGAGCAAAGTCCTGTTTGTTTGCTGAGAGGGATATAGGACTTTAAACCTTTACCATCTTGTGAGGTGAGGACGCTCTAATGACGCAGGCTTCAACTTCACACTTCCCATATGGAGTCTGCATGACTGGTAAAGGAGTTGTTGGTAGCTACACTGAGGTGTGACTTTTTGTTGCCTATTGAAAAACTATTACTAGCTTGCGTAAGCAAAGCTACATGTTTGCTGTAGAATCTCCGATTTTCAAAATAGGCTATTTGATAAACATTTTCATCACCATCAATTTGGTTAATCCAGAATAAATCTTCGAACGTTCCTGGTGGAGGCACTCAAGGCTGTAACAGAAGTGCTATGGCCAGCTGCTGCTGCCACAAATTGCACTTGCAAAAGCATTTCAGCCCAACAAGTCAGATTATTTTAATAACTAGTTTAACTCAAGGCTAACATTCTGCTGTGTGATAATTAATCCTCAGTGCTTCCTCCTCCTATCCCTCCTCCCAGCTTGGTGTCCACCAGCGTGTCAATAAATACAAAAAAAAAAAACTTTAAAAGATATATTATCAGTGACTGAGCTCAGAGTGTGATAAATTCCCTGAGGACCGACACAAGTGAGGCTTTGTGTTTCCAGCAGGTTTCTTTTTACTTTCTGTGAAACAGGTATGTTTTTCCTCTTCACTATGAATACACCTGTTTTAACATGAACACAGTAGAACACCATCAGTTATTAAGTCATTATACACCTATATGTTTCATTTCATATTGTTTCAAATGCTATAGTGCTGTTCTATGCTGTAGTGAGGGTTACAGCACAGGGTTGTTCTCAGTAAGTTTGCTCAGGTGTTGTTTTCACACCACCTTCACTAGATCTGTGTAACTAAGTTGGTCCTTTGGAGTAATATTTTAATAGAACTGCAACATGTTAAAGATATTATTCTGGACTGATGGCAGGAAGCGTGTGGACGACGGTGGTCTGTCAGACTGGTAGTCCCACACTGAGGCCAGAACAGACTGCACTTTAAGCAAAGAAACAGACTCAACAGACTATGAGTTGCAAAAGTATTCAACTTGTTCTTTCTGAAACTGAGTATCTTCAGCAAACATTTTTAAAATACTTTATAGATATATTTTTTTCATATAAAATATAGTGGCTTCACCTAAAATCAAAACTGTAAACATGACAAACATAAACCAAACTATGGCTAACAATTAATATCATTTTGCTTATTATTTGGTACTGCTATGTTTTTACATGTCCAAGTTGTGAGGCAACAAAATATGATGAAAACCAAGAGGGTGAATTCTTCTGCAATCAACAGTTTGTTCTTTAATCACCACCAACACTTTGAGTGATGTGCCTGAATCATTTCATGTCAGTAGTGATGTTCATGTTTCCACTCAGTATATTTATAAAGATTTTCATGGTCAGATCCGACCAGGGATGAGGATTCTGTGCGCTTTGGGACTCTTTGTGGTCCTGCTGCACCTGTCCACCTCTCTCCTCCTGGGAGCCTTCAACATCCAGTCGTTTGGGGACAAGAAGTCCTCCAACACAACTCTGATGGACATCATCAGCACGGTCCGAACGCCATGGTTTTCTTCTTTCTTCAAATTCAAAGTCTCTTCTTTCTCTCTGATTGAATTTACAAAACACATTTTTTCTGATTTTATAAGGAAAATGGAAAAATTCATCCATGCCTCAAAACTTCAAGTGTTCCTTTGTAATTTAGTGGTTATTGCTTCATTTGCCTTTAAAATCGATGTATTTTTAATAATGTTAAAGTCGTTACATCTGTTTCTGACTTCAGTACACCCCATACCAGTAATATTTGTCAGCTATTGGAGGAGCTACTTCTGTCAGTTTAACGTGACTCAAAAAAGAGACCATGTCTGCAAAAAATGTTCAACAAACCACCTCATGTCTACACTTTGATCTTAGATCCAAATTATCAGTCAGATGTAGAATAGAACAGAATAGAAACAGCCTTTATTGTCCCATGAGGGAAAATTCAGGTATAGTAGCAGCAGCAGATACATACATCAATCCACAAAAACAGGATATTGCTATGTGACATTATCAGCTGTCGCAATAATAATAGAAAAGATAGTAACAGTAAAAATAAACATAGAATAAAATAAAAATAAGAATAATAATTACTGTACTGGACTATCAAGATGGAATTAGATAAAAATGAGAATAAAAGCAAGATACCGTGCAGACAAATACAAAATTACAAGAAAAAGCAGTCATGACAGACTTATAAACCAAGGGGGTATGCAAACTGAGTCAAACTCAGGGGTGTGCAAATTGAGTTGAACTCAGTCATTAAGTTAGTGTTCCAGTACAGGAAAAAAAAGATGTACAATTGCCATAGGTTATTATTTTATCAGTTTGGCATGGGCTAGTCTGAGCACTCAGATGAGCATGTAAACTCTGTCATGCAGTAATTTAAATACTGCTATCTATCTTTTTATTTGCATTAAAAATACACTGAAATGAATCTGTTTTGCTTGAGTGCAAAACTGAATTTTTTTGTATGTTGCTGGAAGTAGAAAAGTTTTGTGATTTGTGGAATGACGATGTTACAACATTTAAGATGTTCTTGAACTGATGGAGCGACATATACTTTTACAGAATTACGTCATAGATATTTTATTGGGTATTTAGGAATTTGTTTGACCCTGTGAAAATATTACAGTACTTATGCTGAGTAGTTTTTAGCATGAGACATTTTAATGGTACAGACAAACAAACATAAACACAACTACAGGGGCAGAGCCAGAGGGGTGGCCAGGGTGGCAAGTGCCACCCCTGCCACCTGACTGGCCACCCCTAAACAGTTGTCAAGTGGGGGTGGGGATCAAATGTGGCAATAGAAAATGGCAAGTTTGGCAGTCATCTTGAATTTTTATTTTCCTTATTTAGATGTGCCCCCCTAAAAAACACCTTTCCCGAGTTTGTGCCACCCCTTGCAAAAAAAGTCTAGCTCCACTCCTGCACACATAAGCCATTGGTGATGACTGATAAAATTACAATTCATGAGAGCTGATGTGGACAAATTGAAATTCAGTGCAATGATTTATTTATCTTATTTTAAACATTTTTTTAATTTTCAGATTGTCCATCGCTATGATATCATTCTGATCCAGGAAGTCAGAGACTACGATTTGTCAGCAACCAAAAGACTCATGGATCATGTGAACAAGTTAGACTGACTCACACAGAACATACACTGTAACACTGACCACAGGTGGAAAGCTAAAGTTGCCTAATGTTTTATAGACAACAGAACAAAGCAATGCGGACAAAAAACACCATTTTTAACTATGACGTTGATCTCTGTGTGTTTTCTCAGAGGTTCCTCGCAGTTCAATTATGTTGTCAGTGAGCCTCTGGGCCGCAGCACCTACAAGGAGAGATACCTCTTTCTCTACAGGTACACAGAGGCTAAAAATGACAACAAAATGAATGAAAAAAAACCATGTTCTAATGGAATGAGTGAGGATAATGTCTCTCCTTGTGAATCCTTGAACACAATAATTGAAAGTCTTAAAAACGTACAGTATATGGAACATTTAGAAGTGGGGTTCTGTAGAAGCTCTTCGAATGGATAAAAAAAGAGTCCAACAAGACAAACAAGTTCACCGCTAATCTGAACACAACAAAGACCCAATAAGACACAACACCAATCTCCAAAATTTCATAGCAGTTGAACAAAACACCAATACTTTTATGCTGCTTTCAGTTTCACATTACACAACATTTTTGCCTGAATTTTTGTCAAAATCTTGACAAAAGTGACCCCAGGCTGCATTAGAAGTGCTATATTAGCTGCTAGTTGTTTTAGGACATTAATCCACTTTGGTATCGGATTAGCCGCTAGCGCTTCAGGTCTGCCAGACATTAATTCTTTCTGCAAAATGAGATTGTCCAAAGAATTATCTTCAAGAGGTAAAAGTTTAACAGATCCTAATTTTTTTCACAAAACCCCTCTTCAAAATGTGTGTAATGTCCCTTTAATTTATTGCACTCAAAAGTCACCAATGTGTATTGTTTTGCACAAAGTAGAACATTTGTTTAACCTCAAAAGTACAGATTTTTAATTAAATGTTGCTGAAACAGCAAGTTTCAGTGGACCTGCACTCAAAAATGCAGCCCAGATGGAGTAGTCGAACACAGATCCACTGATCCTTTAACACAGAGCATTTTCAGAAGACGTTGATAAAGTAAATCTTTAAAATCGGTATTGTTCGATACAGCACTGTTTGATACGGTTTGATACGGGTACATGTATTGCTGTACCCCTAATATACTGTATACG